AAACCACAAAATCACTAATGTGTTAAGTTCTTCGATAAAATGTACTCGACAGTGGTAATCACTTCGAAGCGTGGATATGCGTACAGAATTGATTCACTGCAATAACTTGTTACTCGCTCGGTAGTTGAGTTGTATCTCACAGCCGCCTCGCCTGCACGCCGCTTATATTGCAGTCACCGCTGGAAGTTTTCTAGAACATTCCTGAAGAAGAAATTTCGACGCGAACTACATCGTTCCTGCCAGATGTTTCTGGGAGAATTGCGACGCACCGACACTCGTTTCATCATTTGTGCATAAAAAATTCCTCGTTATAATTTCTCTGTGTTCATGTATCATTTTTCGGCAGATCTTACAGAAGTGATTTTAGATGCAAATAATTCTCTCACATGGTTTGAATTTCAAATACTATTTTGTTACATGATGATCATATTCATACGGTCATCAAGTAACGAAACTTTGATTGTGATTTGATAATAAACCTAGTATATAATATAAGAACACTAGATTGAAAATACTACCGATTTCCTGAGCTGTATTTACAAAAATTGCAATATTGGTGTATGTAAACTTAGGAATTTTTTGTAAAGAAAAATTGCCAAAATTTAAATAATTTTCGCTTTTAAAATATAGGAACGATCGTTGTTCCCAACTGATTTGTTTTTCTAACTACATACTGGAAAACTATGTAACCTTATTGTGAAAAAGTCCTGATGTAAATGATTATTTGAATTATATGAGCAAATGCAAATGCAGAAATTGGCCATGTTTATTGAAACCAACCTTCGTATTACTGTCACCATTACACGAATTATAATCGGCATGTTATAACATATAGAATCTAACGAAAAATATCGAATGAATCACTGAACATGCAGAGACGTAATATTTTTCAGAAGTTGTACTGGTATCAAGTTTGGGGTGCGGAGAGTGAAATGATGAACGATTACATCTAGATTCTAGACGCAGAATCACGCAGTTACTCCGATATTATCAATACGATTATTTCGCAGCAAATTCTGATGTGTGTACGGATTACGGAGAGAAATTTATATCATTTGTTGTTACCAATTGTAGTATCATTTTTTTCTGTTGGTTCATTGGTTAATCAAAAATTTTTGCTCACACAGATTTTGCCGTTCATTCTTTTTACTTGTTCATGTTCTAAAATAACCGTTCGCTTCACTCATAGGTTGCCACTCATACTCTTGACTGTTTTAATTTATTAGCCTGTCAATAATTTTGTGCGGTGTATTCAACACGGCATTTCAAGCGTGATTATTCTGAATTTACCACATTTTCAACTGTTATAATAATGTCAATTATGGAAGATTTTGACATGTGTCACGCGTACCAGCCATGGTTGAATTAATACTGTATTAATTCAACCATGGTGCCAGCGTTCAAAGCTGGCTCGTGATTCTAGAACTCCGCCGGATGCGAGAAATGCAAAGACATTTTAATAATAATGTTATCTATACTGCATTCAATCCTGTGCATGAAAATGTAGCTATCAAAAGTTCTGTCTCTGTATTACAGTTTTCATTACAATAATCAATATTTGGCTGTTGTCGCAAATTTTACGCTTGGATATTATTTATTTCTTCGATTTTACGTTAACGTAAAATATTTACGTGTTTGCATTCCCGTAACTTAAAATATTTACGCGTTCGGTGTTTGCATTTCCGTGGACAATGCTCTATTCACAAATCATCACGTGTCAAGAAATTATTACCGATGCTTACCCTGAAAAGTGTTCTGTAAGGCGTAAGAGAAAACGCAAGAATTTTCTAGGTTAGACTGCTGTCTACTCTAATCTAAATCGGAACTTCTCCTAGCTCTGCCTTTTTCATTTATAGGGATAAGAAAGTGACTATTTATTACTAGGTGGCTCCTTATGTATGTCGTTTTTCTCATGATTTTGTGAAATGTTTCAACATATCAGGATAGCCTAGATAAAATCTTCGTCTTCGACCCCCTTGATTACCAGTACAACTTCTGAAAAATATTACGTCTCTGCATGTTCAGTGATTCATTCGATATTTTTCGTTAGATTCTATATGTTATAACATGCCGATTATAATTCGTGTAATGGTGACAGTAATACGAAGGTTGGTTTCAATAAACATGGCCAATTTCTGCATTTGCATTTGCTCATATAATTCAAATAATCATTTACATCAGGACTTTTTCACAATAAGGTTACATAGTTTTCCAGTATGTAGTTAGAAAAACAAATCAGTTGGGAACAACGATCGTTCCTATATTTTAAAAGCGAAAATTATTTAAATTTTGGCAATTTTTCTTTACAAAAAATTCCTAAGTTTACATACACCAATATTGCAATTTTTGTAAATACAGCTCAGGAAATCGGTAGTATTTTCAATCTAGTGTTCTTATATTATATACTAGGTTTATTATCAAATCACAATCAAAGTTTCGTTACTTGATGACCGTATGAATATGATCATCATGTAACAAAATAGTATTTGAAATTCAAACCATGTGAGAGAATTATTTGCATCTAAAATCACTTCTGTAAGATCTGCCGAAAAATGATACATGAACACAGAGAAATTATAACGAGGAATTTTTTATGCACAAATGATGAAACGAGTGTCGGTGCGTCGCAATTCTCCCAGAAACATCTGGCAGGAACGATGTAGTTCGCGTCGAAATTTCTTCTTCAGGAATGTTCTAGAAAACTTCCAGCGGTGACTGCAATATAAGCGGCGTGCAGGCGAGGCGGCTGTGAGATACAACTCAACTACCGAGCGAGTAACAAGTTATTGCAGTGAATCAATTCTGTACGCATATCCACGCTTCGAAGTGATTACCACTGTCGAGTACATTTTATCGAAGAACTTAACACATTAGTGATTTTGTGGTTTTTGCATTTTCTATTGTGCTTCTTTGTATTTGAGCGTTCGCATTCTCACGTGTGAATTGTGAAGCAACGAACAGGTTTCGTGCTCCATCTACTTACGTATTTACTCCATCGAAGGATCATAGAGGTAAAACATTACTATTTGTTACTTGTAATATCTGTTATAGATAAATTGCTCTTTAGAGCTCCTTATGCTATATTTTACAAAAGTTGATTTCCTGGAATGATTTTTCTATGTCTCCACTACAATGTTTCAATATCATGAACATTCAATAATTGGTTTATGTACTGGTTTATTCAATAATTGGTTTATGTAAAAATTATATTTGATATATAAGAAGGTTAAAGTGTTTGAAAGTTTGTAATATTTAATGGATAAAAATTTATGTACGTTTTCTTTCTCTGCTCTCGGGAAGCAGTGTGAAATGAAAACGAAGACAGCAACCGCAGTGGGCATTGACCTGGGCACGACCTACTCGTGCGTGGGTGTGTTCCAACATGGCAAGGTCGAGATCATCGCCAACGACCAGGGCAACAGGACAACTCCTTCGTACGTCGCCTTCACCGACACTGAGAGGCTCATCGGCGATCCTGCCAAGAACCAAGTCGCCCTCAATCCCATCAACACAGTTTTTGATGCCAAGAGACTCATTGGCCGCAAATATCACGACCAAACTGTGTCGAGTGACATGAAACACTGGCCTTTCAAAGTTATTGATGATGAAGGGAAACCGAAAATCAAGGTGGAATACAAAAATGAAAACAAGACATTCAGTCCTGAAGAAATATCGTCCATGGTTTTGATGAAGATGAAGGAAATTGCCGAAGCTTATCTGGGAAGTGCTGTAAAAGACGCGGTCATCACCGTGCCTGCTTACTTCAACGACTCCCAACGCCAAGCGACAAAAGATGCCGGCGCCATCGCTGGCCTCAACGTCCTCAGGATTATCAATGAGCCCACAGCTGCAGCCATCGCTTATGGTCTCGACAAGAAGGGGAGTACAATGGGAGAACGAAATATCCTTATATTCGATTTAGGTGGCGGAACTTTCGACGTCTCAATTTTGTCCATCGATGATGGGATTTTTGAAGTGAAAGCAACTGCCGGAGATACACATCTTGGAGGTGAAGATTTCGACAACCGTCTGGTTAGCCATCTTGCGCAGGAGTTCAAGAGGAAGCACAAGAAGGATATTTCAGAGAATAAGCGAGCTTTGCGACGACTGAGGACAGCGTGTGAACGAGCTAAGAGGACTCTCTCCTCGTCTGCACAAGCCAGCATTGAGATAGATTCGCTCTTCGAGGGCATTGATTTCTACACATCCATCACCCGCGCGCGATTCGAAGAATTGTGTTCTGACCTCTTCAGAGGAACACTTGATCCCGTTGAGAAAGCGCTGCGTGATGCCAAAATGGACAAAGGAAATATCCACGAAATTGTTTTAGTTGGAGGCTCAACCCGTATTCCCAAAATCCAAAAGCTGCTGCAGGACTTCTTCAACGGAAAGGAGTTGAACAAGTCGATCAATCCTGACGAGGCTGTGGCCTATGGTGCTGCTGTCCAGGCTGCCATTCTTAGTGGTGACAAGTCAGAAGCAGTACAGGATTTGCTTCTTCTCGATGTCGCCCCATTGTCAATGGGACTCGAGACAGCTGGAGGTGTTATGACTACCCTCATAAAACGCAACACTACCATTCCCACTAAACAAACCCAAACCTTCACCACCTACTCGGATAACCAACCCGGTGTGCTCATCCAGGTTTACGAGGGCGAACGCGCCATGACCAAGGATAATAACCTTCTCGGCAAGTTCGAGCTCACTGGTATTCCTCCTGCTCCTCGGGGCGTACCGCAGATCGAAGTAACTTTCGACATCGACGCCAATGGCATTTTGAACGTTTCTGCTGTTGACAAGTCCACGGGCAAGGAGAGCAAGATCACCATCACCAACGACAAAGGTCGACTTAGCAAAGAAGAGATCGAGAAGATGGTACAAGATGCTGAAAAGTTCAGAGACGAGGACGAGAAGCATAAAGAGAAGATTTCGGCGAAGAATTCGTTGGAGTCTTACTGCTTTAGCATGAAATCAACTCTTGAAGACGAGAAGTTGAAGGATACAATTAATGAAGATGATCGCAAGAAAGCACTGGATGCTTGCAATGATGCCCTCAAGTGGCTGGACATGAACCTTCTGGCGGAGAAGGAAGAATTCGAGCATAAACAAAAGGAAGTGGAGCAAGTGTGCGCCCCTGTGATCAGCAAGCTTTATGGAGGAGCTGGAGGACCCGCGCCCAACGGCACGATGCCCGGAGGCCCCAGTGCGGCATCTCGGGGGCCAACCATCGAGGAAGTGGATTAAATAGTGAATAATAACTGTACATATACATAAATGTATATATGAAATTAGTATAGGTTGGCAGAATTTGTTCCATTTAGCAGGTTTCATTGAAGACCAGAGAATTTTTGTATTGACAATAATATTTTCTTATTAGTTGCTAATGTGTCCATCGGAGTTAGTAGTGTAAACGTAAACGGAGTAGTGTAAACGGAGTTAGTAGTGTAAACGAGAAGTATTGCTAGATAGTTGTAATAAGCGCACATGCATCACAAAAGATACATGCATTTCATCCAAGCTTCCTCGATTAATGATAAGCAAGCTGAGAACGCTAAATATAATTCTTTCAGAACATTATTAGTACGCCATAAGTCTTAGGTATTTATATATGTAATTAGCGTATATATTGTCAATAGTACTATAAAATTGTAGTATCTTTTGTGTTTTGTCTTGAGGTTGCATTAGGATATCAATATTATTGAACCTTGATTAAAATATTCTAGTCGTAACAATCTCAGTACCGTTGTAATTCTTGTATGTACATTTAAAATTGTAAATAGAAAATGTATAACATTTCTTTGTCTCTCTATCCTTCTACGCCTTCAGAAATAAATTTACGGAATAATCTATCAATTATCGTTCTACCTAAAATATTTGGGTACAGTTGAAAATTAACTCAGAAATGAAAGCAAGTCCGTACTTTCAAAGCTCTCCCGAGGTAGGATCTCGCAGAATCGTGCAGCTGTACAGGGTTCTGAAGCATCTTAAGAACGAGAAAATTTGTGTACATTAAAGTTTTGAGGAAATTTTCCATCGTCTGAGGACACGTGTGAGCTATCGGCAAAAAAATTAACCTGCCAGGGTAGTCGTCGGCACAATAAACAACGGACTGGAGTTCTGAATAAAATGATTACTTGTATCATCCGTATGAAATTGAAATGAATTCATCAAGTTGGTTTTTATTCAGTGTTAATTCATCAAAGCTAGTATGAAAAAGCAGATTCTGAAACGACTTAACAGAGATTTTAATGAAATCCAGTCTGCAACGGCGCAGTTGTGAAGTAATTGAACATCCTGAATTAAAAAAAAATCCGTGTTGAATCGCCAGTTTCAATTGGACTATCATATTCTGAAACGAATGCGTTTCAAAAACACCAATTATTTTAGAGCAGCCTTTGCCCAGTTGTGAGATGAAAAAAAATCAAATTTCGAGAAAAAAAAAAGTTGAATAAACCCAATGAACTGGCATCTATGAAGTGAATGCAGCCACTGCTCAGTAGGAGATTGATTGAATTCCCAAGTCGAGCGAAATTCTTAGTTATGTCATCAAAGTTACAGTTTGAAAATCAATTTAGAAATCTATACGCGCCTTTGACTCATACATGCAGCCGTACACAGCTAGTGGTGGGAGTGAACTTATTTCTTGAGTTTAGCGAAATTATGAGTTGAATCACGTTTTTTTTATAAGACGACACAACTCTGAACAATTGATTTGACACTACTGGGATGCATGTACAGCAGTTGCGCGGTTATGAATTAAATGATTTTTTTTAAGCGATTGTTTCAATATAGTATCAAAACGGTTAACTTTTCTTCGGCTTTATATATAGGATTAAAACTTTCAATGTTTTATTACACGAATGACTTGATTTCATATATTTATTCGCTTAATTGTTGTTGAGAATTTACTAAGCATAATTATCTATTTAGAGCTTAAATGGACAAATGATAGCTTTTCAGCTGACATTTGGTATATTAAGAAAGTTAGAATGGGGATTCATAACAAAACATGAGCACGCACGTCTTTTTCTGCAAAGAAAATATCGGAAACAATTTAATGACCACTCGAATTATTCATCGTTTAAAAATTGTGCCCACTCCAAATTTTTATCAGTTTAACACGGTAAGAAGAGCCCATTTAACTGAAATTATGACTTTTCGGAAACCAGCGACTTCGCAGCTATATAAGTACTTTTTTAAATTCACGAGTAGACGAACATTCAAAGGCATAGGATAAGTTGGTAAAAGATAGTATGACATGATTTCTCGTTAAGCACTGGGCGTGAGTATTATAGTATTATAAAGCGGGAAATATATAATTCATTGAAGGATTTAATGACACTGTATTTACGTGGATAAAGGGAAACAGATAACATTCAAGCGTTTATTGTTATAATAGGTTTGGTGGCAGTGAATTATGATTGTACATTAACGGGAAAAAATTAGTATAACAATTAGAATGACATTAGCTACATGAAAAATAATTAGACAGCTAGACTATTTTTAGTGCAACCTGGCTTCAATGCTTCGAATTTATTCCTGATCAAGAATAAAGTTGTTGAAAATAATATGACTTAAGACATTATTTTAGCTCGTAAAACACCAAGTAAGTTTAAGTGCGCCGTGACATATACTAACTATTGTGAACTCAAGAAGAGTTGGCATGCGTTTTTCACATAAAAAATCCCTTAATCAATCTGTAAATTGCCAAAAAAATCTATTACAATGTCGACGATTTTTTGTTCATTGGACACGATATATTGGACTAGGCGCTATAGAGATATAGACAGTGATGAACTTGATATTAACTTGTATGACGATTATTAATTCCTATTATATAAGCAATATACATCAACAAGTCACAATTTCAAAGTTGTGCATTAAATATCACTTATTCTAGTGTACCACTCTAAACAAAATTGAAATTTGTTCGACGTCTAGATTCTGTGCAACTTAATTTACTTTAAGCCAAATTTTACATCAATTCTCAACTCAGCTGAAGTTTTTAGATTGCGTGTAATCCTATTGAAATAAATTCATCGGTACATATCACACGCTATGATAAATGTAATCGGTAATATATTATTGCACTAATCCTATGATTCTCTGTAGCCTGATGCAATAAAAATTTAATTAACCATTAAGAAATACTTAATTTTAACACCAGCGATTTTTATAAAGGCAATTGATGTAGCGCAATAAAAATTGCGTTAAATTTGCACTTTAATCTTCAAAATGCCTGCACTTTCTTTCCGCGTGATGACAAGCGGAATTTAAATATACCCGCTTCTATGACGCTAAACTTCCTCGCAGATGCAGAGAAATAAAGCAGCCCTCACCTGGAAACCTTGCTATTCCGAAGGTATGCAGACACCGAAGCTCTCTTTATTTCAACATCTTAATTATAAGTGATAGTGGACATTTCCAGAACTCAATTACCTTTTTAGAAACTCCGATCATTATAACACCTTAATTTCCGGCGGTATTTGCTCGGCAAATGTTGTACAATATTTTTCATTGTAACCTTATTATTTTTTTTGTGTGTGTTAAATGTTGCTTCTTATGCCCGCGTAAGCAAAATTGTTCGAGCTGTACCTTTACAATATATTTTATGTTCTTATAAATTACAAATTTGACGTAGATTTTCTTCTAATATTTGCCGGTTACCATAAAATATAAATTTGACATAGATATTCTTCTAATATTTGCATGTTACCATAAAATACAAATTTAACGTAGNTGTTCGAGCTGGACCTTTACAATATATTTTATGTTCTTATAAATTACAAATTTGACGTAGATATTCTTCTAATATTTGCATGTTACCATAAAATACAGATTTGACGTGGATATTCTTCTAGTATTTGCACGTTGTCATAAAATATAAATTTGACGTAGATATTCTTCTAATATTTGCATGTTACCATAAAATATAAATTTGACATAGATATTCTTCTAATATTTGCATTTTGCCCTAAAATATAAATTTGGCGTAGATATTCTTTTAATATTTGCATTTTACCCTAAAATATAAATTTGGCGTAGATATTCTTCTAATATTTGCATTTTACCCTAAAATATAAATTTGATGTAGATATTCTTCTAATATTTGCATTTTACCCTAAAATATGAATTTGACGTAGAGATTTTCTGCACGACACCGTAAACTAAGTTTTTGCCACTTATAATTACCAACCCTCAGAGTGAACTTGTCTAGGTGCACTCATTTATTGTGAAAGTCGTTCAGGCCGTTAGGTAAGCAACCACCTGAATAAGTTATTCACCATAATTTGATTTTTGAGTAACTTCCACTATTCAAGATAAACGAAAGAGAACTTGAATTACAATTTGATTTTTTAATATTAAATGTTAACTTGTGCACGATGTGATACGTGAAAAATACAATAAAGGTTCAGTTGACGTAGTGTTTTTGGAAACAATCCAATCGACGATACATGAATTAATTACGTATATCAGTAACTTTTTGACTCTGTTTTCTCGCTTTTTTTCGATGATCCCATCATTCTCTGTTCTTTAGCGCAGCAAAAGTTCGGTGATAAGCTAAAAATGTTGAAACCAAGTTTCTGCTTCCCAGCTGAATAAACGAATTGATTGATTTTCTATTTCATAAGTATTGCATCTTGTAAATAGCCCTCACAATGGAATGCAACACACTATATCATATTTAATCAGTCACTCGACCGTCTAGAATGCCGGTTAGAGCCGCGATAGAGGGCCATGGTTCGGAAAAAGCGAACGCCCAAGATGGCAATCAGTCAGGTAATAGGCAGCAGTAACGAACGCGTACCTCGAAAATATCACATGTAATAGAATACAAATCTAAATCGAAAAATTATAACGGCAAAAATACGAGGGCTGATTACAATGTTTTTAGATGCAATTTGTTTATTTTAAGCTTGACGAAAAATTTCAAACATACTTTGTTCAGTTTCGATTCGTTTTCTCATCGGTGATAACTAAGGAGACTGGCTGGCTTCTGAAGTACCTCTCGCAAGTGTCTAAAGGTTCAGCCTGACGATGAACATCGTCGACAAGACCACGGGCAGGATACCGAAAGCTCCAGTGGCAGTTCCTAGGGCCGGCGATAATTAAAGAGACTGGCTGGCTTCTGAAGTACCTCTCGCAAGTGTTTAAAGGCTCATACAAGTGTTTAAAGGTTCAGCCAGACGATGAACATCGTCGACAAGACCAAGGGCAGGATACCGAAAGCTCCTGTGGCAGTTCCTGGAGCGCCGTTGCCTTGGGCAATGGCGCGCTCGACCCTTGACCAGGTGCCGTTGTGGGGGCGAGGCTCGACGTTGAGGACGTGAGCCAACACTTGGTACACATCCACGATGTTGATGGGGTCCAGCACCGTGCCGGGCACGAACGCTGCAAAGTACCGAGAACAAATATACAAATTTTCCGATACCTATAGGTTTAGACTGATAATCTAAAAAATTCGCAAATATTAATTAATTAAATACAATATACTGCCGCAGACTTCGTTCATTAAAATTATTAAGAGGTTGGAATAGGATAAGGCAAATTTAAAAAATAAATAAATTCGATTTTTTACAAATGTTGCATATGTACCTACTAACGTCTTATACAAATATAAATTTTAGCAGAAGGCAAATTTTACGATGCATATACGTAATTGTTGCCTGTGGTTCATTTGTTATAACTTGTTAACGAGTTGAAACTTTGAAAACTGTTTGGGGAGTGGCCAGTGTTCAACTGTATTGAAAAACTTGAAATTTTCTAAATCGCGTATAGGTCAAAGCGCTCTAGATAAAGTCAACCTCACCAGGCCCCTTGGCAAAGAAGATGGCCCGCATGTCCTTCTCGTTCTTGCTGTAGCCGTGCGCGCCGTAATATACGAACGAGCTTGGCGGAGGGAGCTGCTGTGAACGGTTCGAGCTCATCACGAACGTTTCTGTAAACATGACATCAATCATATTTAATCTCAGTTTTTAATACTTCTGTTTTTACTATTTAATAAGTTTATGGTTATTTAATTATTGCACATTCTAAAGAAATTCACAAAGTAATGAATGCTATCACATGCTTAGATTAGGAAACAATTAAGCATTAATGTTGTACTTTCAAACTTTTATTGAAATGACTTAAGCTATTTAATTTGAAATTATTAATAAAAATTAACTAAAAATGCTTTCTATTATATTTTGCATATAAAACCTGACCGGTTATTGTCGCATCACGCTGTATTCAATCCGCTATTACTATTAATTTCATATGCAACCTCAAATTTTAAGTAACTGATGATTAAAGTTTTTTACCTACTTTTTACCCACCAATCATTCTAAATTTCGTCTATCAAGTTATTTATTATTCTATACAAACTGGCCTAAATGTATCCACAACACAACAAATATTTTTCTCAATCACTCTGTAATTTCCATTGCAGTAAAAGATGATTTTCAAAGTTATTTAAAAAATAGAACAAATAAAAAAATAGCACAAATTTAGTACAATTGTACAAATCAACAAAAAAGTACAAATTTGTTGTATGATAAGGTATAGGTCACGCGTAACTTGTGAAATTTAACGAAAACATCAATAAGTTTTTCCCACATGAAAACATAACGAAATCATATTATTACTTTATGTGGGCTGCGTAGGCCATATACCATATCTAGATGCCACTTCACACTTAAATTTCCACTTCTGCTGTTCCACGCTCTGCATTCACAGAGAAAATTTAGATTATGAAATTGGAGGCGTCAAGTGCTTGTCTACACAACTTAGATAATTTGCCTAAGAAATATTTGGAGGCGCCTAAGAGAAAATTAATTTGCCTAAGAAATAATTGGAGGCGCCTAAGAAAAATTTAATTTGCCTAATAAATAGTTGGAGGCGCCTAAGAAAAAATTATTTCACTTAAGAAATGCCTGAACCATAAGATTCGGTCGACCTTGCCGCCTGGGTCAAGGACACTCGAATTTTTATAGTTTATGGTTCAAATGATATATAATTTTATGAAAGATGTTGGTAGTTCATTGCATCTATTATTGAAGAAAATCAGTCAATAGGATGCATCGTACAGTAAATAACTATGTATTTTTTACAATTAAATAATGTTCCTTTGGTTGTGAGAAATTATAGTTGGAATTTGTTTGCTGTGTGTTACATCTTCTTTTACATAATTCTGCGAATAACCCTTAATAAAATTTTTCAAATATATTATGGCTGTCGGACAATCAACAGCCTTCCTAACTAAGAATATTTTATATCCTTTTTACTCTCAATAATGCGGTTCGCCACTATCATGGTGTTAGTAATCTCTGGAAATACTCAAATAAATCATGTCACTTACAAGCAACTGAGCTACAAACCCAAACTTTAAAAAAAATTGTTCCTTTATTTTTTTAATCTGATTCGTTTCACATATAGTTTATTTCAACTCTCCAAATTCACTCACAATGAGGATATCGTACTTCACCTGAATCGGCAAGCTAAAAATTTCGAGCTTGTGTCTCTACTTACTTAAATCAGTCGAAAAAATATTTCTTTCGTGTACTTTGTTTTGCATAAATTAGCCACAATAAGGATATCTTTCATGGACTTGGACTTACTTAAATCATCCACAATAAGGATATCTTTTATGCACTCCGACTAACTTAAATCAGTCCAAATAAGATCTCTTTCATGTACTTCGACTTACTTAAATCAGCAACGATCAGGATGTCGTGCATGTACTTCGACTTGGCCACGTGGAAGTCTTCTGGAATGTCGTCCTTCTTGTACACCTTGACGCCAGGTATCTTCGACAGGGGATTGTACACCTACGAGAATGTGTAAATCGTGAAGAAATACGACAAAAATCCAACACTAAGAACATTATAAGCGCAACGCTATATACATTATTATATAATTATATGCACAAAAAACTAGTTTACTTCACTTACAGGGTCAACAATATTTAGCGTTACATTGTTTTTTCAAAATCAATACACTCGCAAAACAGTCAAATGTGACGTATGGAACCATGTCGACTATTCTCCGGAAGGACCTAAAGTTGTCCCCATTCAAGCATGTCAAAAAACACCAACTGTCTGCTCAAGTTGTTGACAAACGCCTCCAAAGATCCAAGATTCTTCTTTCCCGCATTCATGATGGCACGTACGTTGCCAAACCTCGTTTTCAGTGATGAGAAGATATTCAATGATGAACACCACTTCAACTCCCAAAATGATCGAATTTGGTCGAAGAATGGGACGAAAGATCCCGTGTGGTGACTATGAAGCAATGCCCGACCTCAGCGATGGTCTGTGCAGCCGTAACAGAGTCCTCGAGGAGTCCCCTCTTTTTTGTTGACAAAGGGGTGGAATTGAATCAGAAGAACTATCGAGATGCCATCCTTGTTGGTGCATTGTTGCCCATGGGCACAAAAGCCCTTCAAAAAACGCCCCTGGTCGTTCCAGCAGGACTCTGCACCATCCCATGGGGCCAAATCGACTCAGGAGTGGCAGTCCGAGAATGTTCCCACTTCATTCCCAAAGATGAATGGCTCCCATCGTCACCCGATCTGAATCCTCTGGATTTTGGGATTTGGCCATACCTTGAGAGCAAGGTCTCGACCGCTCACCATAGCAGTTTAGACGCCCTAGAGGTCAAACTGCTGAAGGAGTGGGCCAAAGTCCCGCAGAGTGTCATTCTTGACTCGTGTAAGGCTTTCTCTAAGCGTCTACAACTCGTTATTGATGCAGATGGTGGACATATTGAATGAAATTGTGGGAATTGTATCTCTGAACCTCTGCCTACATAAATACATTTTCAAACATTCAAAATTGTTTTTCATTTCATAGTTCTAATCACTCAAAGTTGTAACGCTAAATATTGATAACCCTGTATAAGGTTCACGTGAAGCCTGAAAATCAATATATACAAATGCAAGCCTTGAAGTGCTGTAAAGCGTAAAGTGTCATTAAAATACTGGTAAAATTTCACAGAAATTGGCGTTGATACATATTTTTGGTTCTCGGAGAACCTTAGAAATTTTATATGAAGCTCAAAATGGGTTGTTCAACCTTTACTTTTCAAACGTTTTGTGGCTAATTTTTCGATCCTTAAATTCGCAATTTGCCCAATTAAGAAACATGAATGAAAACGTATACTTTCGTGAAGCGTTATCAAATTATGATATAATTACTTTTTAAAATCAAACTTAAACTAAAAATTAAATTGTAAATGCAGAAGGCTAAGAATAATAGCTAGATGCTTGTAAAATATTAGCAATGAAGCCAAGATTTTTATCAAATACAAAAGCAGTGTTCAAGCAATTACCGTAAATAAGTTAAACTAGATGAGTTACACATCCTAATTGAACCCAAATAAATATTTAATTGAGTAACACAACATTGACCACCTCATCAACTCGTCCTGCAGCGACTTTAATGTTGATGAAGGCTCCCTGGTCGGCGATACGTTCGACAGGCGCTCCCTGAGGCAGGTATTGGTCGAGCCAGACGCGCTTGGTGGTAGCGTTACCGGTGTCGGTCATGCCATGGTCGCTCACTATCACGATGTTCACTAACGGGGAAAATCTATCGTCATTGCAGTCAATACAATCACTATCACGATGTTCACTAACGGGGAAAATCTATTGTCATTGCAGTCAATACAATCACGATCATGATGTTCACTAACGGGGAAAATCTATCGTCATTGCAGTCAATACAATCACGATCATGATGTTCACTAACGAGGAAAATCTGTTGTCATTGCAGTCAATACAATCACGATCACGATGTTCACTAACGAGGAAAATCCATTGTCATTGCTGTCAATACAATCACGATCACAATGTTTACTAACGGGGGAAATCTATTGTCATTGCAGTCAATACAATCATGATCACAATGTTCACTAACGGGGAAAATCTATTGTTATTGTAGTCAATAAAAATACACAAACTTGTCACATGGGCTAATGCTCGTACTTTTAAACTGCTTTCAAAAAAATTTTTTATTTGCTCTGTGAAATTATCAAAAATGCGCTTCAAGACCATCACTAAATTGATGTCAAAATTCGTATTATCATATGTAGATCATCGCGAAAAAAAATTCGTTCCTACGATTGCCCTTTAAACACAATTCAATCGTCTAATAGGCTAATATCTTGAGCACTTATAGCAAGCTACGAATTTAAAAAAAATATATATTTGACAATTGAAGGCCACGACGCTAGACGCAAAAATCCTCGTTGTTTCAGGGACCACACAGCGTAACAATCGTTCAATTAGTCAAAAAAAATGAACAGTGCCCAAATAATTAAATATCATTCTCTCATTCTCATGATACTTTTCTAGTTGAAACACCGAAAAATATATTCTCGCGACAATAAAAATGTGACAAGGGCTACAAGATTTCGTACCTGTGTCGTTCAGACCTCGTGTCAATACAATCACGATCATGATGTTCACTAACGAGGAAAATCTATTGTCATTGCAGTCAATACAATCACGATCATGATGTTCACTAACGAGGAATATCTATTGTCATTGCAATATTTGCTTTGTGATATTACCGAAAATGCGTTTTCAAAACGATTACTAAATTAATGTCAAAATTCGTGTTATCTCATACATAAATAATCGCAAAAAAATTTCGTTACTGCGATTGGCACTTCAACACAGTTCACATCAAAACTCATACACATCAAAACAGGCTCATACACTTCATACACTTCTCATACACATCAAAACAGGCTAATGTGTTGAGAAATTTTTACCAAGGTACAAATTCAGAAAAAATACGACGCAAGACGCAAAAATCTTCGTTGTTTCAGGGATCACACAGAGTAACAATATTTCAATTAGTCAAAAAATAAACGGTGAGCTAATAATTAAATAACATTCTCTCATGACAGCGACAAAAATCCTGAAACTTCTCAAGTTGAAACACCTAAAATTATATTCTCGCGAGAAGAAAAAATATGACAAGGGCTACAAGATTTCGTACCTGTGTCGTTCAGACCTCGACGTTCAAGTTGGCGTTGAAGGTAGACCAAAGTGGCGTCAATTTCGCGGACTTCCAGATGGGTTCTGCTACCCACCACTGGACGGATATGGCACAGAGATTAAGAGCAAATTTAGAAGCTAAGTAGGCCAAAGGTTAATTTATTAGTTATTAACATAATATGGTGGTTACCGATGGGTTCTGCTACCCACCACTGGACGGATATGGCACAGAGATTAAGACCAAATTTAGAAGCTAAGTAGGCCAAAGGTTAACTTATATAATTATTAACGTAATATGGTGGTTATTTAGACTTTTTCGCTCGGTTTTGAAAATTGAGGAGTATATTAAAATTAACAATTATATAACAGGATACGCAGTTTCACTAAATTAACTACGCTAGCTAAAGAACAAACATTCATAAATTATCATGCTTGCCTAATTTAATGCTTAACAGATTGATATCGCATAAATTCGACCTTACTTTCGTTCATATTTGTTCGATGTGCAGGAATGGTTTTTCACCTAATTTTCACCTAAGAAAACATGGCTTAATTCATACATAGCGAGCAATAAAAAAATGCTAAACTTCACCATTTATCTCTAAAAATCTTTTTTTTTTCATGCTGCCGATAAATAAAAACATGTTGGTTTTAGAAACATTTTGCTTTCCGGTCTTCATGTGTACAAACATAGCAAGTAATTAAAATTACATTTCATGCTTTTACTTCAAACTGAGATTGTAACAACCTTTTGCTTTCCGGTCGAGCTGTCGTTGAAGAGAGAAAAGTCATCCCTGGCTTGAGCATCATACATGTAGTTGCCGACGAGGGTGTGGCTCTCAGCATAGAGCCCAGTTACGAGAGAAGTCCAGCTCGGGTATGACAGAGACGGGGTCAATGGGGTCATGTATTGAGCTTTCACGCCATTCTTGATGAATTCAGTGAAACCAGGGATTTGTTCCGCTGGCTGGTCGTCTAGGTAGTCAAAACGAAATCTGAAAAAGATAAATGTTGAAAATTTTCAATTCAACTCTAATGCAGGCAATTATTAACAGCTAAATGCTCCCGAAATAATTAGCGTTGAAAGGAGACCACACGACTGCAAGGTTAGGTTAAGTGGATACTGAACAGATAGCCAGATGTTGAATATTTTTTATTTCCTTTCGTTGTAATAATAATTTTTTTTTATTTTAAAGATAAATTGAGATTGAATAAACCGTAACCGAATAGAACCGAAAACTACGAAGCCCGAACGACGAATAAAATTATGAACAACTTAACCAGAGTGAAAAGCATTTGGAAGAATAAACCCAGAGTCAACTAAGTATCTATAAATGTAAATACACATCAACACAAGTAACACTCGGCTACATAATTCATATCTACACAACTGAACTTACGGCCTAAGTCACCTCCTTAAAATAATCGCTCACTTGCTAAATTGTTTCTTCTTCCCGCTGTGAAATTTATAAATTCATCATATAAAGTATGTAAGCTCCTGGACAATATAAAAATATTCTCATTTCATATCGTTAAAGAGCACATATTACTTGTTTTTTTAGCTCATAAGTCAGGTTTAGATAAAATAGCGCTTATCTTTAGCTCTTAACTCTTATTTTAACTCTTTTTAGCTCATAACTCAACGTAAAATATACAGTAAATAAGTTATGAAATGGACGTACCCGTCTAAGAGAATGTAGAGGAGCTTCCCCGTGCCATTTTTAACTCTTTTTAGCTCATAACTCAACGTAAAATATACAGTAAATAAGTTATGAAATGGACGTACCCGTCTAGAAGGATGTAGAGGAGCTTCCCCGTTCCATTGCGTGGTAATGCCGTGGGGTTTGTGGATACCAACACCACAAAATTCAGGACTAAAGCTAGTACGAAATTCATGTCTGAAAAGTATTAGCTGTAACAAGATTAGAATTTAAATGAATTATGAAAAATATAACAATTGAGCCCTATTTTGTAATATAACGAAACGACACAAAAGATCCTGTTAATATTCTGATGCCACTCTAGGATGTGAATTAAAAATTAAACTACTCCAGACAGATGTAATAATAGGCTAGTAAAATGATTTTTAACTTTTACCAATAATTGCATTCGAAGATCGTCATTTGCATTACCTTATATAATATTTTTCATGATATGCGTTAGAAAATTTTCAGCATTAATTATGTTTTACACGCTTGCCATGAACACAGTTGTACAAAGTTCCTCATTAACAGCATTATATATATGCAAATATAATATAATATATTTTAATATGATAGTATTATATATAATATATTCCTCCTTATCAGAATTATATTATAATATTCCTCATTAGTAGAATTATATAATATTCAAATATACTATTCCTCATTAACAGTATTAAATAATATTCACATGTAATATTCCTCATTAAAAGCATTATATAATATTCATAGTTAATTAACTGCGTTTTTCAATTTCAACACTCAACTTCGTTAACCAATGAAAATAATTTACCGCAAATGCAAAGTCGAAAATTGCAACTGACATCAACAATTAGCAATTAACTCCAAATAATAACAACAATTAACTTTTTTGCACAATATTCAACAATAATTAATTTGGAATATGTTTAGCAACACGATTATGTTAGACTGTATTCCCTATAAGGACACTCGTACAACTCCACTGCAGAGCGTACACTGCGCTCAACGATGTAGGCAACTCAGCAATAGAGCGCTCTGAAGGCCGCGTCATTTGGCAGCTGTGGGAACACCTGTCTCAATGCAAGGTGAATCATCACGATTATGTTAGGCACCTGCACATGTAATTAAATTGCATAGTATGCACCTGCACACATAATTAAATGGCATAGTATGCACCTGCACACATAATTAAATGGCATAGTATGCACCTGCACACATATTTAAATTGCATACTACGCACCTGCACACATAATTAAATTGCATAGCATAATCACCTTCCGAATAAAGTACTGTTTAAATGTTTAATTAAACTCCTAAGTGCATTTACGTTTTTTCATAAACCTGTATATAATCCGTATTTGTATGAATGATTACTCTTATAAATCACATCATTTTACTCGTTTAGGAATTAAAAACACAACCAACTGCGTTTGAACTGAGTTCAAACGCAGTTGGCTGTTATGTGTTAGGTAATGTGATTGCAATATGTTAATTCAGACTGCATACCGCAACACGAGTGAATCATACACATCACACAGCAAGAAGTATACATGCAAATCGGAACGACGGCTGTGTGGAGAGCATACCACGACAACCTGCCCTTATCTTATCTTCAGACCTTGTGAAGTGTAACTTTTATTTCATATAAAATTGTCAATGTCAGCGAGTGCACAAATAGGAATATTTTTGTTACCACCACGAGTACCTCAGGAGTTCTTTATATAGTCTGATGTCTTAATCTTCTTTGTTCAAGGATAGTCAATGTTTGCCTCCTTCGATCATCAGCTATAGCGTGTCGGTAATTGTCTCGCTGAAAGCTTTCGTTATCCACCAATCAAGATGTCATGTTACCTATCCTGCATTCTACCGACTTCTGCAAAGGAATAAAATCGCCAGACTTCCAATTAAGGTATCACTCTTTTTCACATTTTCGAGAAAAATTTATTTTTGCTCCCAATAACAAATACATTTAAAGTCGTTCTCAACTATATTTAAATAAAAATTTTATTTTTCGAGTTCAACATTGTCAAGGTCAGCCGAAGGTTGCCAATACAAACACGGATGTTATTCGACAGATGAGATCGATGAGCTCGGTGGCCGAGATCTCTTCATGAATAATTTTGTCTGTTGCCGGAGTATTGCTTTCATCCTGATGAACCGACAGTGGTTCTCATTACCAAGATTGCTAAAAAATATAACTCAGTACTCACTGCAGTGAGTGACAGAGAGCGCATTTTCTCGTCGACGAAAACGTGGTCACGGACAGACGGACAGACAGACGGATAGACGGACAGACAGACGGACAGACATGACGAGCACAATAGCGCCTTCTCTGCATAAATGAGAAAATGCGATAACAATCACCAAGTCTTCAATGCAAGGGCTTGTAGGAATTTTTATTCACGTCAAATATTTTATATTTTAACGACAAAACTAGAAAAAAAATATCTAAATTAGAATTAGGTAAAACTCCATTAGACACGTTCCTATTCATGATCCCGAGTAACGAAAAAGAATTTCCACACAAAAACAAGCGTGACACACACTAAGTATTCAATCCACAAGAAAAACAATCTCGAGGAAGCGTTGTTGTACATAAAGTACGCAGAAAAACAATCTCAGGGGCCGTATAGGAAGCGTTGTTGTACATAAATTGCATAGAGTGCATCGCATTGCAGCTCATGCATCCTGCTGTTGCTCAAGGTTTTCCCGGCAAAATCGTCGTCACAAAAGAACCACCAGATAACAGGGTCAGGAGGGCGCTCAGGACTGTCAAGGACACCTTCTGTATACAGGAGAGCCCACCACGAGGGACTCAAGTAGAGTTTAAATATTCACGGATGAATCGATCCAAATCGCTCTTTAGCAACAAAGATATTTATCGCAGTCTCACGATTATTTTCTGTGAGAACAATTTTTAGAATCATGAAATACTATTTATTATTGCATGTGCAATTCTAATCTAAATGAAACTATAAATGTAAATGCGTGAAAGAAATTCCTTGCTATAAGGAGCTTAGCTGGAACTGGCAATTCCGACACTCCCTGCAACAGCCGGTGACGAACTGAAGGGCACGAGACAGTCAAGCCCAGGATTTTAGCAGCTGCAGGCGAACCTGTGTATGTGAGTATTGAGGCAGCTGCAGGCGAATGTGTTTGTGCGAGGATTGCAGCAGCTGCAGGCGAATGTGTTTGTGCGAGGATTGCAGCAGCTGCAGGCGAATGTATTTGAGCGAGGATTGCAGCAGCTGCAGGCGAATGTGTTTGTGCGAGGATTGCAGCAGCTGCAGGCGAATGTGTTTGTGCGAGGATTGCAGCAGCTGCAGGCGAATGTGTTTATGCGTTTTGCGCCCTAGCATCAGCAACTTGTAATTGAAAATTTACAAGTATAGAGACGAAAATTGTCTATACCTTTTTAACAACACTTCTCCTTAACTTCACTTCCTGTTTGTTTGTTTGTTTGTTTGTTTGTTTGTTTGTTTGTTTGTTTGTCTGTTTGCTACAAATCTTATAATCGATATTTAGCACAATTCTACCTCTCTAATCGATCTGAAATTTTGCACACTTTCGTAAAGTTGGAGACATTGCATGAATCAATTGTCAGAATAAATAATTTGAAATTAAAAAAAAAGTTTTTTAATTTAAAATTTGAAAAAAAAATTTCTCCTACAAATCTTATAATCGATATTCAACACACTCCTACCTGTCCAATCGCTCTGAAATGTTGAACACTTACGTAAAGTTGGAGTTACGTTTTTTTCTCATTCAAATGGAAAAATGTAAAAATAATTCTGTTTATATATGAAAATAAAATTAGAAGTTCATTGTAGATGTGGAACATCGGAGACACCGTATTCTCTAGAAGTGTTGTCTTTAAAAGGTAATTTTTAAACGCACATTATTCAAGCTAATTTTCAATTTCCAAGCCGTATGCTCTTTTCTTCGCAATTTGGTAGCTAACATGATTGCGCGTGCATAGCAATCAAATCTTCCTAATTTTGACCTCTGAGAGCTCGTAGCAAAGCAGTACAAACCAGTATAATAATCAATAAGTAAGGATTCCTAGTCCAAGGACGAGCGAGGGCATAACGACTGAACTCATCGAGCAGCGCAGGACCTATTCCATGATGGCCATGATTGTGGGATCGATTGTTAGCTAAACGAGGAGAAAAATAAGTGAGGCCGAAACGAAACCATATTTTTTATTGGTAAACTACACTACGATAGTGGCCGATAGAAAATTTATTTTAGAATTTGGAACCTAAACTTCCGATTAATCGCAAGCGTTGCCATTCAACAGAGTGCTTCTTTCCAAAATGAGATAAAATAATGTTCCATTGACATCATTGTGAAAATAGGTCGTGTACTCGAAAGATTGCAATTCTAGATTCGTATTTATACATCAAATCATAATTCTGGCATCAACATAACCAAAACAAACGTATCACCTAAATTTGCAATCACAGTTGAGGTTGAGTATGCGTTTGGAGAATGTTGAAATTCGGCACACAAATCTGTTCTTGTCGGTATATTTTTCATCTCCTATCATGTTGTCAAGTCAGTGTTCTTATGAAACCAAAGTCTGAGAATTTTTCATGATTACAGATGAGATTTAGCAAACCCATATTGATATTCAAGCCAGTTAAGACGAGTTTGGTCTTCTAGTCAATGCCTTTTCTACTTGCATTTTGATTTTCTTAAATTAATCGATAACGGTAAATAAGGTTAGCGAAAGAATATGCAACACGCAAATTTGTTATCTTTTAAAATCCCTTAAATAATTTATATGATATTTTGATCTATTTAAGGGGTTGAAGGTTATCCACGAGAAGAGCCCAAACTTAGGCTCACTCATCAACATCGTAGCTTTTTAATGCAATTTCATGTTGCGTGCGTTGAATTTTGCAATTAGCAACATATGAAAAATGAGACAAAATGAGCATAAAATGAGGCATGGTGAGAGCCAATTTATATGTGTGCAAATATTTGCCACTTTAAAATCATGATGGCAAAGGATCTTCACCTGTGTGCCAGTTTGAGTTGCGAGTTCCTATTTGTAAGGATGAATCAAAGGCGTGATATTCTAGGATATTATAATTCATTATTGGTCTCATTTAGTCAAACTTTTCTCTAATAATTTAGGTGAACACCAGTAAAATTTATCAAGAGGCAATTCGATGACCGTAAGACATTTTGCGAAAATATTATGTTTACATTTAACCGGAAA